CACAAGCGCCAGTTCCAAGATTGTACAAATGTCTAAATAGTGGCACGCTTGAATAAAAATTGTACACGTATAAGTGGTACCCCATATGGAAAAAGGATGACACCAAGTCCCAAACTATCTTGCCACTGCTCCCCATGTAGTCTGGGCATCCGGGGGCTCCACGTGACTATCTTTTCAGTAGTAAATCTGAAACTTATAAGTATAGCCTGTCGCCCTCTCACAGGTCTTCTACATCTTGACCCCATATCTGGCACGCTTGCTGGGGAGAAATTGTTTGAATGCAAGGCGACCAGAAAAATTAATCAGGGACTCATCAACGCAGAATTTTTTTGCTCAACGCGTATAGACATCTGCAAATTTTTGGTTAAGGTGATTTGTGAGGGGCAGAATTTTGTGGAGCCGGTCAAATTCAGGGTCACCCCGAGGATGACAGAGTGTATTGTCGTTGAAATGCATAAAACACATTATACTTTCATATCTATGCCTGGCCATGGCAGCAGAGAACACGGCATATGATGAATTGGGTCTGCGGACCAATACAACCGCAATTCATTTCTTTTAGTAATGTCCATGTTGAGGGTTAGGCCCCAAAAAATTTTAATTCGGAAAGTGTAATGAGTTTCCATGCGAATGGTCTGGCAAGGTTTGAATTTTGGTTGGTGGCAATAAATTGTTGTGCATATAAATTGCTTTGATCGACAATCAACGCATACAGATATTCCATGAAAAACAGCTCCAAAAATCAAGGAGATATGTGAAAGACCAGGATGTACTAGACCGCTGGTACTCGCCAGTTCACCAAAAGGTAGAGCGGCACTAGTACTGGCACTGGGCTGCATATGAGAGTCATCAAAATTTACCGGCAAGTGCTAACAGAGATCAGGCCTGATTCTGCGAACACTGCGGTTTTGTGTGCAATGTATCAAGTGACAGTGACCTACTGACACTGCACTTGCTGGGGAGGAAGGGGGGGTAAGCGTAGGGGCTAAATGCACGTGCTGGCAGGTACCGGGGCTGATCCCGCTAACGCTGCGTTTTTGGGGACGCTATACTAATGTTAACGCTGGTATAGTGCTGATCTGATCAAAGATATTGATCTGTTCAGACACTATACTAGCAATGGAGGTTCATTGTGCATGAGCATGCTCCTGGCAATCAAGGGGTTAAATGTGATGACTGATGTACTGACGGGCAATCTGACGCTACCTAGGAGGGGAGTGAAAACCACGGGAGCGCAAATCATGTACAGTCATGGCCGAAATTGTTGGCACCCCTTGATATTTCTCCAGGAAATCATGTATTTCTCACGAAATCGTATTGCATTAACACATGTTTTGCTTGTACACATGTTTATTCCCTTTGTGTGATTAATTCTCCAGGATTAAACATGTATTTCTCAACGAAACGTTTTGCGACATGTTTTGCTGTTTTATACAATGTTTATTCCCTTTGTGTGTATTGGGACAAAACAAAAAAAGGGAGGAAAGAAAGCAAATTCGACATAATGTCACACAAACCTCCAAAAATGGGCTGGACAAAAGTATTGGCACCCTTTCACAACTGCGGATAAAATAAGAATGTTACAAGCATGTGATGCTCCTGTAAACTCACCTGGGGCAAGTAACAGGTGTGGGCAATATAGAACTCACACCTGAAAGCAGATAAAAAGGAGAGACGTTCACTTAACCTTTGCATTGTCTGTCTGTGCCACACTAAGCATGGACAACAGAAAGAGGAGACGAGAACTGTCTGATGACCTGAGAACCAAAATTGTGGCAAAAATATCAACAATCTCAAGGTTACAAGTCCATCTCCAGAGAACTAGATTTGCCTTTGTCCACAGTGCGCAACATTATCAAGAAGTTTGCAACCCATGGCACTGTAGCTAATCTCCCTGGTCGTGGACGGATGAGGAAAATGCAACGCAGAATAGTCCGGATGGTGGATAAGCAGCCCCAACATGTTCCAAAGACATTCAAGCTGTCCTGCAGGCTCAGGGAATCATTTAAATGAAATGAAACGCTATGGCAGGAGACCCAGGAGGACCCCACTGCTAAATTGCCAAAATGTACTTGAGTAAGCCAAAACTTGTGGACAGATGAGACCAAGATTAGACTGACGGGCAATCTGACGCTACCTATGAGGAGGTGGAGGTTCAATGATGTTTTGGGGTTGTTTTGCTGTGAAAATCATGAAATCCTCGGGAGCGCAACAATGACCCCAAACATACGTCAAAAAGCATCAGAAATGGATGGCAAAGAAGCGCTGGAGAGTTCTGAAGTGGCCATAATGAGCCCAGATCTAAATATTGCTGTTGGGAAAAGGTGTCCTTCCAATAAGAGAGACCTGGAGCTGTTTAAGAGTAGAGGTGTCATTTTGCCAAATATTAAGTTAAGGGTGCCAATAACTTTTGTCCAGCCCATTTTTGGGGTTTTGTGTGACATTATGTCTATTTGCTTTTCTGCCTCTGTTTTATATTTGTTCCAATACATACAAAGGGAATAAACATGTGTATAGCAAAACATGTGTTAATGCAATACCTTTTTTTGTGTGAAATACTTGATTTTCAGGAAAAATATCAAGGGTGCCAACAATGCAGCAGTGTTTGATTTTGCGCACCCATGCCGCCCTGCAGCAGTGTTTCTGCTATAGGGCGGGCTGTCAGGAAGCCGTTACAGAAGCGGTTTGTGTTACGTCGATGCGTTATTTTAACTGACAAATGCGCGGTCATGCAACACTGCACCCAAATTAAATTTACGTCCTTTTTTTCCCACAAATTGAGCTTTCTTTCGGTGGTATTTGATTGCCTGTGCGTTTTTTATTTTTTGCGCTATAAAAAAAGCTGACAATTTTGAGAAAAAAAAAAAATATTTTGGACTTTTTGCTATAAAACATGTCCAGTAAAAAAATTTAAAAATCAAATTTCGTCATAAATTTTGTCCAAAATGTATTCCGCGACATGTCTTTGCTAAAAAAAAATTTGACACTGGGGGGGAACTGACTTGGGGTCACTGACATCCCAGTGACACCAATACAGTGATCAGTGCAAAAAAAAACACTGACACTGTACTAATGGCACTGGGGAGGAAGGGGTTAATTTTTTTAGGCAATGAAAGGGTTAACTGTGTGAGGAGAGTGTTTTACTAGAGGGCGGGGGTGTGTGCTTCACAGGAACACACTGATCCCAGAGATAAACTCCTCTCTCAGGATCAGTGTGCTCGGAACTGACAGGGAGCAGAGCTGCATTGTAAACAATGTAGCTGTGCTCTGTGTCACTGTTTGCCGGCAATTGCCGGGACCTGGTGGGGTAATGACTGGCCGGGACCCGGTGATTGACACCCGCTGCCATGATCGACGGGACGGGTAGGGTGGGCACGCGCCCCACGTGCGCCCCCTACCTGTTTTGCAAAATTACGTTTTAAAATGTGATTTTGCGCAGCGGTGCCACCTTGTGGCCGTTTTTCTACAGTGGCTGGACGGCAAGCAGTTAAGCAAGAGTTTGCCATGAATATAGAAGAGTTAAAGTGGTTCTAAAGACTGAAGGTATTATTACTTAATGCATTCTATGCATTAAGGTAAAAAACCTTCTGCTTGTAGCTTCCATTCCCACCCCACCCCCCTTATACTTATCTTGATCTAGTGCTGTGCATGAGAACAGCAGCTCTCTCCCTCCTCATTCGCTCAAAGACAGCAGCTGGAGCCATTGGCTCCCACTGCTGTCAATCACAGCTAGTGAGGAGGAAGTGGAGGGCGAGGGCGGGGCCAAGCCATGCTCTGTGTCTATGGACATACAGAGTCGGCTCTAAACAGAGCCTGCACAAGTGCCCCTATAGCAAGCAGCTTGCTGTGGTGGTGATTCAGCGGGGGGGCTGAGCCAGGAGTTCCAGTGGGGGACTGCAGAAGAGCAGGACTGGGGCTGCTCTGTGCTAAACCATTAGACAGAGCAGGTAAGTGTAACATGTTTGTTAATTTTAAATAATAAAATTGGATCCTTTACAGTCACTTAAACACATGGTTTCACCTCTTTAGTATCTCATGTGTTGTATATATGGAAGCCATTTTCGGGCCGGGACATAGATAATCCTCTCTTTTTTCTTCTGCAATGTGTAGATCAGTATTTCAGAGATCAGATGCCTAAAGCTGCTTAATAATTATTGAGTGGAGCAAAGAGCTATGCTCTCTGTGCTGTAACCCCCTTGCTTTTTGGATATACAGATGTACCTCTCCGGGACGTTTCGTATTGCAGAAAATTCGTAAACCGAAACACGGTTTCCCATAGGAATGCATTGAAATCCAATTAATCAGTTCTGGAGGTCAGAAAAAAGTTTAAAAAAAATTGTCGTTGTCACTGTAGGTCAGTGTCGGTTTTTAAATGTAATTACTGACTTTTTTTTTTCTTCACTATAGCTCAGAGAATCAGCAGTCACTTTCCCCCCAGCTAAAAGAAAGAAAGTTTCCTTTTAGTTTATTTCCCCGAGTTAACAGTAACAATGTTTCTTTTTAGTTTGTTTCCCGAGATAAAAAAAACAAAGTATCCTTTAGCTCCGGGGAAAGTGACAGCTAATTCTGTGAGCTATAGTGAAGGAAAAAAAAAGCCGGCAATTGCATTTAAAAATCGGCACCGACATACACTTCGTATTGCAAACCAAAATTTGTAAAAAATTCGTAAACCAAGGCATTATTTTCAATATATTTTCATTAGTAAACCAAAAATTACGTTAACCGAGGCATTTGTAAACCGAGGTACACCTGTATGTTTAATTAAATTATAAGGAAATGACTGAAAACCTTCAAAATCTTTACATGTTGTATAGCCTTGGTTAAGTATGGTTAGGTCATTGAGCACACAAATGTGGTTTAACCTCCCTAACGGTATTCCCGAGTGTAGCTCGGGGTAAAATGTCTGTACCAAAAGCGGTAACCCCGAGCTACACTCGGGCTTACCATGCGGCGCTGCATAGGGAGTCCCTGCAGCACTTACCTTGTCCTTCGCTCCCGCGATGTGTCCCCTGCAGCGTCCCCGGCCATCTCCTCCGGCTGATGCCGGCATCCGGCTCCTGTGTTCCAGTCCCTGTGACGTCGGGACGTACGGGCGCCGCCGGCGGCGAGAAATTTGAAAATTTTAAAAAAAATGTCATTTTTTTCAAAACGATTTTACATAGTAAAACATTGCTGTTTCAACCCATTTCCCATACATTTTGTCCCTAGTGCTCTGTCCTGTCCCCTCTCTGCATTTTGAATGTTCTTTCTGCCTGGAAACTTATAAAAGTCCATGGAGTCCAAAAAGTGTCCCTTTAGATCAAAAATGGGTTTAGACCAGCTAGAGAACAGCGATAGTAAATTAGAACCACTTGCAGAATTGAGTGATAATGATTAGTGGAGAAATTCGTCATCAGACACTGAAAACAATTTTGCGACTTTGCTCAGCGATGTGCGAACTTGGCGCTCTATTTCAAATTTCAGTGTTTTTGGTTTGATTATATTATTGAATTAAATGTAATATTATTATTTTTTATGATTATTTATTAAACTATAATTTATGATTTTGTGTTTCAAATTTTATCATACCCGGGATGTTTAATAGACTCTTGTTCGGACAGATTTCAGTGAGTTATTCCTAAATATTACAGCCTACAATAAAAAAACTACATATTTCCATGCAAAATAATGGTACCGCTTTCAGCACCAAAAATCTGAAATAATCATACCGCCAGGGAGGTTAAAGACACTTGTATAGAGATTTATTTTGTGGCAGGAAATATAGCTTGTATCAGACTGCCCCTTTCCTCTTTTTTTTCCCAGTCATTTGCAAGGTAAAAATTTTTTTGTTAGCACGTGATTGGTTAATTTGTCTTACTTCATCTTATTTTACCACGCACGGTGAACATTCATTTTGCTAAGTGAACATTTGCTGTTACTTTAGTGAATAAACCCAAGTAGGTCAACATAAATGATGCACAATAAACAAAGGGAAATATGATAACTTTTGATGGATGACCTATGTTGCATTTCACAAATCCAGGTCTGCCACTCAAAAAAAAGATGAAGGTGCAGAATAGCATATCCTAAAATTAACTTGGACAAAGAATAATGTGAACATGTTAGCTATTTTTAGTTTTGCCTTTGTTAGAAATGCTTCTACTATATGCCGGTATGATGCTTTTAAGGGATGACTTCTATTACTCTGGAGGTGAAGTTCCCTCTGTAGAAATAATCCCTAACCACGAGGTTCTCTTCTTCCCAATAAAGACAAATATGAATGCTCTTATTGGACAGAAGGGAAATACGGATGCAACTTAGCTGCAGTGGAAGGGTCTTAGCCCTGAAGTCAAGGAAGCCAAACATTTAAACATTTAACAAAGTGAAACTTAAGAAGCCACAAGACCCAAAAAAATCACATGTATTTCATGTTGCTTGACATTAGGCAGAATGGTTAAAATTGTGAAAGAGCTAACAGGTTCACTTTAAAGTTGGCCATACACTAGTAGATTTTCAAATGAACATTCATACAAACATTCATACAAAAATTTCTATGGAAATGTCATTAGTACATATGATGACTTGGCGAATGTTGTTTTAAAGTACTTCAAAATTTTGTTTGCTTTTAACATCTGATTTTGTAACAAATAACTTTCCTGATTGAAAACCACATACAGTGTTAGAAATGTATTCATTTGAGAAAAAAATTCCATCCCAATTCTTGAGTACTGTCCGTGATACTTTTTAAGTGTTCTTGCATGGCAAGACCACTTCCTGTTATCTCACATATATATTCTTATTATTATAGCCAAATTTACCACCCTAACTTCTCCCACAGTTTTTACACTACATAGACAGTAATATACCGAAACGTGCAGATTGTTCCCGATTGGTGTGCTATTACTTTGTGGAAGGTTTCGCCGAATGGTTCACAAAATATCGGTGTTTTTTGTGGTGAAATTGGTCCCATAGGAATGAATGGCCAAATGTTCAAAACTAGAGTGGGAGCTGACAAAAGCTAGAGTGTGAGCAGAAAAATCAGGACATGATTTCTAAACTGCCATCACTCCCTCATTTTCAAGCCCACCTACACAAATCTTATATCAAAACGTTCAGCTATCCCTGCTGCCACTAAAAATACTAAGCCATAGTCCTGATAGTTTTCACAATATGACCATTTGTTTGCAACTCATTGACATTCATTGAAACTCCACTCTAGCCACCTCAAATTTGAAGGGCAATATCTAAACTGCGACTGTGCCTTCATTTTTAATATTTCAGAGACATACTACGCATCAAAATGTAGGTCTGGGTCTTGTGATTCTCACAATATAAAGCTCTTTAGTGTAGGATTTATCATTTTTAAACTACAACCGTTTGAAAATGGCAACCACCAGTGAAGTGAGCAAGTTGGAGCAGTTTTTTTTTAACCGCTCTTCTCTGCCCTTGCTGTAGAGTGAGTTGCCATAGGAACCCAGGTGTGTGAGCAGGCAGCAGAGTGACAAGCCACTCCACCCAGTTACTCCGCCCACTCCAGTTTTAGACTACTGGTGGAATGCAAGGACACTTCACACAATTTCCCCAGAAATTGTAGATTTTCTAGTTTTATTTGTACTAACATACAATTTTGAGGACAAGCTTTCGGGGTATGTCCCTTTCTTCAAGGTCCAAGCAGTACTATACAAATACAAATCACAAAGTTTCAGCAGAGTATTAGAAGGGATGAAAAAAATAAGAGGCTAGAGATAAGCTTGTCCTCAAAATTGTATGTTAGTGCAAATAAAAAAAGTATCACAGACAGTACTCAATTGTTTCTGTCGCAAATGCACTAATACGGCTACAATCACCTCAAGCAAAATGGAACATCCCAATTCTTCAAATTGTTTAATTGCTGTGGTCAAAAATGAACATTGAATTGACCCCACTAATGATTAGAAAAAAAAAAAAAAGAATGTCCCTAAAACAAAAAAATTTAAATTCTACTAGTATATGGCCAGCTTAAGGTCGGTAGATTGACAGAATGATGGTTTTGATGTACATGTCATTTGCTTACTACCCTAACCCAGTTCCTCTTCTGTAAGCTCTCTAACACACTTCTTATTTTAGACGAAAAAACTATTTTGCAGAGGTTTCTATGATGTAGGGCTTAGAATTAACTGTAATATAAAACATTTAAAATGTCCTGTCGCAGTGCTGAGTATTGCAAGCTGGATTTCAGTCTCTGGAGTGCACAGGCTTAGCACCTATAAAATAAACTCTTGCTGGATTTCTTCAATTCATGTAGCAGGTGGCAAAGCAGACAGAAATGTGGACAAGGATCTTGGAGAAGTTTAAGCCATAATTCAATGGCACAGCTGCTCTTACTAGGAAGTGTAAAGGCAGGTTGATGGAGCTGGTGATGTGTTTACTTTTCGCTGGCCGTATTCCCGTTACCCAGTATTTCCATCCTTAGCTTGTTAATCCATGAAATATATTGGCTACTGTTTAGGAAATCTGCACATTTGTTCCAGCTATAGGGAGTCTTTACTTGGTGCTAAAACATTTTGTTGCAATTAGCTGATATGCTTCCATTTTTATATTTACAACATATTGGGTAATAAGCAAATGAAAACCTGATGAAAACACGATGAAAAGGAGAATTTTGTTTCAGAAAGATATGTCTATTGGGTGCTGAATCAAAGTCTTGTATTTACAAAGATATGTTGGCATCTAGGGTGTTTATTAAGTTCTTGAAATTGTCACTTTTTTAGTAAGTATGTGATTTGTCCATATACATTCACTTTAAAGCAGACCCTGCATGAAATTGCATCATCTTTTCCAGACCCAGATTCAAAAATGCTAGACTGGTTTTCTATTTTTGGAAGGGGGTCAGCTATGGCAGCCTACATAGTTCTCACAATACGAGTTTCCTTTAAGATGTTTTTGGCTCTGTAAGGGGGGAGACAGAGGAAGGGGGTGTAGTTCTGAGTCATTGCACTGCCTATTTTTAGTAAAACAACCACAGAAAATACCTTTTAAAAGCACTTGATTGACTTGGAGATTGCCATACTTTGGCTTCTTCAAGTGGCATGTATGAGCAGCTCATGGTCATGCAGTATATCACAAATAGCCAAATAAAAAGAAATACAAATTTATTTTTTAGTACTGAATATAATAAATATTCAAAATACATTCCCTTCAAAATTGAAGATTATTTACATTAAAAATAGACACAATTACTTTTAGTGTTCATATAGAGCACTACAGAGAACATAGATCCATTCATATTAGCAGTAAACATTAGACAGCTGAAAAACGTGCCCCCAATGATGTCAGTTCTGACAAAACACGTAGGGTAGTGCTATCACATGTGACGTCACCACAGGAAGTGGTCAGTGTGATTCCTGGGACTGGAGTTTTCATATTGATAAGTGCTCTCTGGTTTTAACATTTTAAGTTGTTAATACTTTTTTAATAAATAGTTCCATGCGGTTTTAAGCTATGTGGCTTTTCATGTTATGGTGGAATATCTTTTACTTGCGGACAAGGAGTTCATGAGACCATTGGTGAAGACCTGGAGATGGTTTTTGTATCCCAATGTGAAGTAGACACATACACAAGCGCATGTGACTTTTTTTTATCTGTAAAGAGTTCATAGCTCTGGTAAGAGTCTTCTTACACTTAAGGTGTTATGGTGTCTGGAGCATTAACTGATTTATATAAATCAAGATTCTTCACAGGTTCACTCATCATTTGGGACTGTTTTCACATGTTTGGGACAATTACCCTCTTTATTTGTGTGTAGGCACTCACATTTTGATCTTTCTATATTATGTTATTTGTTATTCGCACGGCATTTTTGATTTACGTTTGTCACACAATTCATTTAATTGTTATGCCAGCTGCTGTTTAGGTCTTTTATCACAATTTCTCTTTGCTTTTTTAGCTGAAAAACCTTATTGTTCACTGAGCTAGGCATTGGGGTTCATTTATTAAAGAAATATAGATTGTGCATTTAAATTGGTGAATAAGGGGAAGATTTTATATTTACCTGACTGGGTATACAAAATACACATAACTTTATTTATTTTGCCAAATAAACATTTTTTAGCACTTTGATAAAATAACCCAAAGGTATCAAATAAGGCCAAAAAAGATGATCAAGATCAAGGAACATTTGGTCCTGTTTGGCCTTACTTGCTGCTAATCTAGTGCTAATGCTACTAACCTACAAGAAATCATACATATGGAGACATTTTAAGTAAAGTTGGAAAAGGGAGAAATAAAGTCCACACCATAAAATTGAGGAAATAAAACTACAGCCGTCTTACTGATATAGACAATCACTCCAATTATCTGAATAAGAACAGAAATGTAGGAACCACCCAAAGTCTCGGACTGCGAG